GATCACTTACAGCACTGAGGAAATAAAGCAATGTCTATGCCATTCAATGATAAGGATGCCAATATTAATAACTGTTTTTGTTTAGTCCTCTGTTCACCAGGGACTGAACTAAGACCAGCAATTTGGGTTTTAATATATTTGTTCTGTAGCATTTTTGTATTTTGTTGATGTATAAAATGTTTAAGTATCAACTACTGTAGATATGCATTACATATCTCTATATACATATCCAGCTTACTGAGACTATTTTTTTAAATTGGAATTTATCTTGGTGAATGGGTGAAAAAAAAAAGAAAAACTTGGAAATAATGATGAATAAGATTGTAGCCTGAAGGAGTTAATGGGCTGATTTCCATTTTCAAAAGAGCTCTTCAAAGACTTTCATCCTTTATGCTGCCAGCATGCTCTTCCATTTGCAAAGTAAAATCCCCATGCATATCTCCAGACGCAGACTGCGCTTCCTATACACTAGAGGAACAGTGGAGGCTAGCATTCGGCTTAGCCTATGAAACAAAAAATGAAATAACTGGAGCAAATGATACACATTTCAAATAAGCAAGGAGCCAAAAGGCCTATAAAATATATTTTCAAATATTTAGTTACCCAAGTATATGTAACTGTACTTAAATGATGCTATATACTCTGAATGGTCTGCCAGTGAGGGTGCCATTGTGTTGTGCAAGTATGTGGAAGCAATAGAAGGATGTGATCCAAAACTATTCACCGAGTGCATAAAGTGCTTTTTCTTCTGTCTGGAAACAGCTAGTGACAACTGCATGGGTAGTGAGAGCAAAATTAAGAAAATCTTCAAAGCATAAGAGCAAATACCACAAAATGAGAGCATAGGACTGGAAATCGAGCCTCTTGTCCGCTACACAACAGTGTAGTGCATTATTACTAGACCAGAATATCAGCCCTAACAAACATTTTAATTCAGTATTTGAATAATCAACTGTTTCATCTCTAAGGTCCCCAATTTAACAAAGTACCTAATGTGCCCAATTTCAAGCATGTGATTAGTCCCAATGCTTACGTACCTTACTGAATTAAGGCCTAACACAGCAGTTTGCAGAGTTAAAAGTAAAGATTTGCCAAAAATAATAAAAAAAAACCCCAGCCCCCTCCCTCCCACACAACATGTAATGTTCTTTTTAGTATAAAGGCCCTACCCTTAGATGAATCATCTTGTTATGAAAAAGAACATGAAGAACCACTTTATTCTTACTGGTACTCATTAAAGCAGGGACCCAATCATGCAAAATGCCAAATCTCTTCAAGTCTCAGTGAAGCCTGTCTTGCAGTAGGTGCTCAGCACCTTACAAGATGTGGCTCTTGGTTACCAGGTGTATTTATTTTTCCATACTTTATGCCAAGAGGCCACAGCTTAATAATAAAATGAACCTAGTTTCCTTTGACTGCGCTACACAAGGAACTGCCAGGTTATGCTGCCCTTATTATCTTCTTACGTAAGTCTGGTGTGGACAAAGGACAAAGGGGCAGAAGACAAGTTAAACTCCACATTTCAATGTGTGCATTTTCATTGGGTTTGTGAGCTGGTATGTGATCACTTAGCTCACAGATCACCAGGGCCAATTTGGGTGGGCCTGTATAAGAGTGTTTGACTTCCGTGGGAGCTTTTGGGGCTCATCACTTTTGAAAATCAGTCCACTTATTTAGAAGCCTAAATACAGACGTGGGACCTGAGGTTTAGACACCCTTTAAAAAAATATACAATCCCTCAGTAAAACACACAAAATGGTTATGTTCCAGTGAGATAGCTGCAGCTGAGCTGAAATATGTGTAATCACAAATGAGGAAAATCCCCCTACTTTCTATGAGATCCTAAAATGCAGTATTATGGCGCAATCCTGCAACCCCTAGTCAAACCAGTGGGAGCACAGATCAGTGGGACAACTCGTGTGACAATAAACTTCTTGTGTGAGGCAAGGTTGCAAGATCAGACTCTATTGGTAAGGTACTGTCCTCATTGAAACTGTAAATGAAAATACTGAAGTTTATAAAATGCTACAACTACATTTTTACTACAATTTTGGTATAAACATTTTTGTGAAACTGTCATCATCAACAGATATTTCTATTTCAGAACAGAATTATCCTTTTCATTAATGGCATATTAAGAAAAAATTAGTGACCCTAGTTGTCCTTATTGTTTTGATTTTAAATCTCAGACTTCACAGAAGGATTTATATGTCTCTTTTACTGCTACGTTGGGTAATGGTTTAATAGTTTGAGATTATTACTTGTAGGAATTGAAATCTTGTAACCGGGACTCTTAGATTAAATTACAAATCTATTAATCTGTAATGATTTATGACCTTCCATTTTGTGTAAGCTCACCAAAGCTGTGGTAGGTTGTGGAACTTGGTTTTGTAGCAGCCAAGCTAATTTCCATGGCCTAGCTAATTTTTTGTAATAGCAGAGAGCAGATTGCATATAAATGAGTCCTTCCACACCAGTTCAACTCTCTGCCTGATTCATTATGGTTAAACTTGGACATCCAGGGTAATTTTTTCTTATAATTAAAAATGAATACACCTTTAGCATGGATTAATTTTGATTTGCTACATCAGGCTTCTTTATAACCACCAGCAATAATGCAGGTCTTCACCTTCCAAAGATAGGGGATACAGTATTTAAAACAAAAAAGCCTATCAATATACCTTAATCCTGGAAACATGAATTATGATTACGCTCTGGAAGTGTCAATTCATAGAGTCTGTGCACAGCTGGTACCTAGGGAGCCAAGAATTTTAGATGAATAGCACCTTTAGTATTGATAATATAACTGCTCTCTGCAGAACCATTGAAATATTCATTATACAACCTTCACTCACACGGAAGTCAGTAGGGCTACTTATGGAGTAAGGAGTAACTACTCAATGTAAGGTATTGAATGTAAGGAACAAAGTCATAGAGGTATAGAGGAAGTATCATTTTAAATGGCATAAAACAGTTTCACACAGTGCATGCACAGTGCACTAGAATATTTCTGGGATGTAATGGAGACATAGGTTCCAATCTTCCAAACGTGGAGGTGGACCACTACATTATTGCAGTGAGGCTTAACATAGGTGTAAAGATCTGCTTGTATGAACCAGTTGCAGGATCAAGGCCTTAGCCATTCACTTACTTACTGCTTTGTGTGTCAAGCTTAAGACATTTAATTTAAAAATAGAAGCTGAATGAAAACACTTATACGTTTGCTTAACTTTACTACTGTGAACAGTCCTCTCGAAATTAATGTTTGTATTCACTAGTATTCTAGTTCAGTGGGCCTCCAAGATAAATTTAGGTAACACATTTCTGAACTTTTAGTTTGAATTATCAGCAACTCATTAGAAATGGTTTAAGAGTTAGCTGTGCACTGGTCCTTTTCCTATTTAGGTCCCACCCTCCTTCCCCCCGCCCATTTATTACCCAAATGGTCAAGCAAACTGTGCACAAGTTACATTACTCTTATCATCTTTAGGGTGGATTGGCATACAATCTAATATACACTTCAGAGAAACCCAAAAGTAATCTCAGACCTGCCAACATTCACTCATTTGGAAAGAACGACTTATTTGTGTCGAAATTGTGCAACCCTTACTAATGTTGGTGAGCATTTACTCACATGATTATTCCTATTTAATTTAATAGGACAATTTAGGCAAGTAAGTACTCACCAATGTAAGGAGACTAACAAATTTATTTGAGCATAAGCTTTTGTGGGCTAAACCCCACTTCATCGGATGCATGCAGTGGAATTTGTTAGTCTCTAAGGTGCCACAAGTACTCCTCGTTCTTTTTGCTGATACAGACTAACACCGCTACCACTCTGAAACCTGTCACCAATGTAAGGGTTGCACAATCTAGCTGTTGGTATTAATTTTAAATCTGCTTGAAAAACCTCTCATAAGGTATTTGGTAGAGTGTTTCATCCAGACAAAAACAACGAGGAGTCCTTGTGGCTCATTATTTGGGCATAAACTCATTGAGTTTGTCACAGCTGGATCATCCCACTACAGAAGGGGCACTGCAGTCTTCCTCACTATCAGCTTTCCAAAAGCCAGCCAAAGCTACTTTTTTCTCTGTAAGATTTGAAAATTACAGTTAATTTTATTCCAAAAGCATGACAACAGCGCCAGCATCTAGAGGATCTCTAGCTTCTCTTCTTTGCATGTTGTCATAACAAATCTGCTTTCAGTTATTGATGCTGTTGACTGTCCAGGAGCTTTACCAGTGAGAGCAATGTTCTTTCCTTGCCTCTAGTGTAGTTTGTCCCCCTTTTCTCCAGATTGTTTACAATGAGAATTCCGCCTGGGAAAGCACCAAACGGCAGGATGTTTTCAAGGATTCCCCTAGCAGGGAACACCCCAGACTCCCTTAAAAGGAGTCTCTCAGCTGCTTGTACCCAGCCTGCACCAACTCTTCCTCCTCCTCTCTCAGACAGCATTGTCTGAAGAAAAACTCCCAAAATCAAGGGACGGTTTATGCCCTCGAAGACACCTTCCCCCTAGCAGACTCTCTTTCTCTCTGATCCCTTATGACAGCTCAGGATGTTTCCCCGTGAAATGCTCCCTCCCCTATGCCCAGCACTGGGGGCTCTTCCGTAGAGAAACACTCACGCCCCAACACACGGGTTTATTCTATTGCATATGCTGCCCCCCCCCCCAACCCTGCGACATTCTGCACGCCCCCATCCCGGCGCGGGCACACTGCGCACCCCATAGCCCAACGTGGGACTGACAGGCTGCACTCCCCACCCCATAGCCAGCGCGGGGATGCTGCTTGCACCCCGGTGTCTTTCCCAGCCCAGGCTGCCCCGGGCGGGCAGGGTTCGCCGGGAGACGTGAGAGGCGGCTCGTCCAGCTCTGGGGAGGCTGCTCCGGCGGGCGGGGTGCGCGGCTGGCTCCTGGCACTGCTCTGCGGGGAGGGACGGGAGGCGGAGCTGCGGCCGGGCAGGAGGGTGGCTCTGCCTAGGGGCGGGGCGGGCTCGGCGTCAGGCAGGGGGACGCGTCGGGCAAAGCAGCGGCCGCGGCCAGGAGGAGCCGCCAACGCCGGAGCCGTTGTGGGCAGCGGGTGAGTGCGCGGGACTGCGGATCCCGGAGAGTTGTGTCGTTTCCTCCCTTCCCCGGGGCTGGGGGCGGCCACCCCCGTCCTCCCTTCCCCGGGTATCTGCAGCGTCCTCGCCCTGCCTGCCTGGCACAAGCGTCCCCTGCCCAGGCACCCCCCGGGCACGTGTTTCCCGGCAGGGAAGGGCACCTACCCCGCCGCGCGCCCCCTCGTTCCCCGGCCCGGGCTGGGCCACTGCATGGGAGCAACTTTTCCTGGGTGCTGCCGCCCGCGCGTCTGGCAGCGGCCGGGCCGGGACTGGCCGGGCTTGGCTTGGCCAAGGGTAGAGTGTGAGTCGCCCCCAAGACTCAGAGGCCACTAGCTGCTCCGCTCCCGGGCCAGGGCTTTCCCCGCTGGTTTCCGGGCCGAGGGTCAGTGCTGAGCGCGGGGGAGAGGGAGGCTCCTCGCCCAGCTGCTGGGGAGAGAACGGGTCCCCCCGGGATCTGGCTCCCTCTGCTCGTGCGGGCGGGGGCGGTAGTTGAGGTCTCCATTGCAGCCCCTGTTGCTTAGTGGTTTGTGTCTCCTACGAAGAAACGACCATTTTTGTGTTTTCCTGGTTACTTCGGGGTTTAGAAAGTCGCTTTATGGCTTCCCGTTTAATGGAAGACTCACACCCCTTCCTGTCTTTGGAGTGGTGGATCAGCGCTGCTTGACAAGTGTGTGTTTCTCATCCTCTAGCTGTACCTTGATAATGCTGTTCTTTCTACCTTGCCCAAGAAACACTTCAGCTTCCCTTTAACCAAAGTTTCCTATGCTGCATTGCTTACATATATACACACACAGGTACATCTTTAATATGATCGTAGCACAACAAACCTCGTAGTACTTGTCTTGGGGTGAGAGGAAGAGTCGGTAGTAGAGTCGGGTATATTAAGGGTGGTGGTGCAGCTTTTTAAATTGCAGTTGTGGATAGTGCCATCTTGTTTATCATGGACCTGACTTATCCGCTATTGGAAGTGCTTTTTCATTCTTACACTTTTCATGTTTGAAATTGTTTATGCTCTGACTTCTGTGCACCTACAAGCTGAGCAATGAAAACCAGTTAAATGTAGGCTTTTGGTCATAGTCAGTTTCACTTTAAGCTACCCAGCAGTACAATGTTCTGGTTTCTTCTGTCAACTGGAGAATACTTGTTTTTAAAAAAAATCTGAATTCTTCATGTGAATGTTTAAGAAGTAGAAACCTTCTGGTGTTAGATTTTATAGAAGTTTGTTTTTGAAAAACATAAACATTAGACCAAAATGTAAATTGACGCTATCCCTGTAAAATTTTGCATCTGGCATATTTTGGATGACTCTGTAAAGATGACATGAGGACAGGAAGAGGCTCACGTGACAAATAATGAGTTACACATGCACACAGCTCTTCAGAGAAGCACAGTATAAATTACAAATTTTAACCTACAATGTAACTCAAGCACGGGTATTAAAATGGAAACACTAATTATCAAAGCTCCTTATTCAAAACCAAACAAAAAAATCACAAAACCACAGGCATATAGCTTGGTATTCTGAATCCTTCCTACACTGCCAGATGTCAAACAAGGCTCCACCATCCCTATCTGCCCTGGGCCATTCTGTACATGTTCTGTGTGGTAGTGTATTGAAAAAAATATAACAAACCTTTGATGGTCCCAGCTTCCAGAAGCCAAATACTGACTTTCCAGAAATCTTAACCCAATTAGCACTTTTTGGATCAATTTAGATTTATTTAAAAACAAAACATAAAGTTCCTATCCAATAATTTAAAATTCACAGTACAAAATAAAATATAAATGACTAGTCATCTCACCTTGTTAACAGAATGAATCAACTAATTCCTGGATGACAAAATAAACTCAGAACAGGGTTAGGGGTTAGATGATGTGGTGATTAAAACACTCCTGAGTACCTGGCACCGTCCCTGGTCTAGTGCTCCCACCATGGGAGTTGCACCAGTGGTGAAAAGATGAGAAATTTCAGGGAAAGGGCTAATAATTAACTAAAAGGTATGTGTAATATCTAGGTCTTGCTCCTGCAATATCTAGGTGGAGACCTACACAGAACTCATTGAACTCCGTAGAGGTTTGTGCAGGGTTCTAAATCAGGGGTCGGCAACCTTTCAGAAGTGGTGTGCCGAGTCTTCATTTATTCACTCTAATTTAAGGTTTTGCGTGCCAGTAATACATTTTAACATTTTTAGAAGGTCTCTTTCTATAAGTCTATAATATATAACTAAACTATTGTTGTATGTAAAGTAAACAAGGTTTTAAAAATGTTTAAGAAGCTTCATTTAAAATCAAATTAAAATGCAGAGCCCCCCTGGACCGGTGGCCAGGACCTGGGCAGTGTGAGTGCCACTGAAAATCAGCATGCGTGCCATAGGTTGCCTACTCTTGTTCTAAATCCACAGATCGAGTTGCAAAAACAAGGCTTTATATTATATTTATTAGCCTGTTAAATTTGTTTATGAAGCAAGGGAGGGAGCTCCAAATCCGGGGAGTCCCAACAGGGATTTAGTTTGACACACCTCACTTCGTCTATTATTTTGGGAGTGACTTAAGCATGTGCAATGGGTGTCACAGTGTTTAGACTGAGACGAAGTTTGGTCTTGAATATGTGTCTATAATTGCCATGATTGCAATGAGTTATACGCATGTATGTAAGGGCAGAACATATGTTTAGCATATTACCTCCTTGTTAAGTATTGTTGTGACTCAAAAGCAGGGGTGAAAGTAACACAGAGGACTTACTGGTAGGGGGAAAGGGGCGGGGCGGGGGGGTCAATGTCCCCCAGCCAGCCCATATGCGCTGCCCAGGGCTCCGGCGGCGATTTAAACGGCCCAGGGCTCTGGCCGCTGCTGTGATAGCGGCAGCGATGGCCGGAGTCCCAGGCCCTTTTAAATTGCCGGCCCCGGGATTTAAATCCTTTTGTCCCCCACCCTTCCTCTGTCAGCGGCCGGGGGTGGGCAAAAGGGGCAACGATGTTAAAGTGCTGCCACAACAGCGCTTTAAGCAGGGTCAGCTGCGTGCGGGCCGGTACTGGCGGCTGCTTTTTACCGCTATGCCGTACTGGCCCGTACCAGCTTACTTTCACTCCTGCTCAAAGGGAAACAACATGTTATAATTGTGCAGGTTGTCATTGTCTCAGTGAAAGAACATGGGGGCATTCAATTAAACTGAAAGGTAGCAAAATCAAAAGTGTAAGTGGAAAAAATATTTTCTGCTCACATATAATTGGACTATGGAACTCACTCTCATAGGATGTCAATAGAACATGAATTTAGTAAGATTCACAGAGGAATTGGATGTTTATATGGATAACAAAGATATGTAGAGTTATAACAGTTCCAACAAAACTTTGGAAGTAAGATACAATCTCATGCTTCAGGGGTTAAGCCAGGGCTTAAATTTTCATAGAGTATTTCCCAGAGCCCCAGGACTTGTAGCTTCTGCCTTGGAGATGTGAAAAGCTCTGAACAGCTCCGGCTGAATTTAAGCCCTGGTTTAAGCCAATATCTAACTTTTAGGATAAGACTTTATGAGGGCAAGTTACACCTCACTTATGTACTGTGGGTTTTTGTACTTTGTCAGAGGCATCTGGTTCTGGCCACTGTTGGAGACAGTTTACTGGACTATATCATGGGTCTGATCTACAATGGCAATTCCTATGTATATTATCCAAACTTGCTTTATTATTATTTTTTTGTTTTTATTCAGTTACTACCATTTCAATCCAAGTTGAAATACTTTCAGGCAAACAGAGAACTCTAGTGTAAGACACAGAAATAACAATATAGATTATTTGTAAAGAATAATAATCATAAACATCTTAGTCCATTAAACTAACACAAGCAATATTGAAAATATTCTGCTTTAAATTAAAAATGGGGAAATCTAACGCTATATTTCACTCTGCTCCTCACATATCAAGCTTAGTTAGCTGAGTTCAATGAACATTACATATGTTGCAGTACTTATGCCTAACAAATATAAGATTTTTCTGAGACAGAGTTAAGTACTGGGTTTGACTGCAGAGAATTACAGTTTGGAAGGGCACAACAGAGATATTCAGCCTGTATAGGTGAAGGCTCTACCAAGCTGATTTCTCTCTTTCAGTCTTGGCTGCTCCACATTTCTCCATCGTCTCCAACTGTGTGCGCATGCACACAGTTCAGAGCTTTTGGGCTGACGTGAGAAGGAAAGATCTACTCTATCTGCAGCCTTGGTTTTGAGTCTTACTCCTTGGTGGATAGCTCCAGTGCCTTTCTCTAACCTGTTTTTGTGGATATAGGGAGGCCTTTTTCCAGATTTATCAATCTGATGTCTTTTAACCAATACTCATTTCATTCTTTTCCCCCTCTAAACTGCCAGGTGGTTTGTGGCCAAAGATATTTAAAATTAATACATAAGACAGAAAAACTTAAATTGGTGCTCATAAAAGCAGTGTCATTCAAAATTATTGCCGATTATGGCACATTTCTTTAGTTTTTAAGGGCTGAATTTTCAAAACTCAGCTAAATTGTGGTGAGGTAAGAGTGGTATTTGGTTAAGGTACAAGACAGATATACCCCTGTCAGATTTGGGATTCAGTTCCTTGTTCTGTCTCAGACTTCCTGGATGGATAAGTCTCTTCATGTCTCTTTACCTCAGTTCATCATTTTTAACATGTATATAAATATATCCCTACCTCAAATGAGAGTTGAACATAAATTCATGAATATTTGTGAGAAGTCTGGACACTACAGTGATTGGGAGGAGGAATATAAATACATAGATAAATGGCCAAAAATGCTTGTTGCACATGAAAAATTAGTATCTGCAATCACAAGTACAATGTTTGCATATTCAAATGGTATCTTCTGAGCACAATGTTTGCAAGTGTATATTTTGGAGTTGCAGTGTATGCAGTGATTTCTTAAAAGCTGATCCTAAAATCTGCACACACAGTGGGGACCCTATTGGTATTTGTATACAGAGAGCTGGGGT